GTGCGGATTGTATCATCTGGAACGAAGTCAATATAGTTCACTCGAAGGATGGTCCTCAGGCAGTGGTAGTCAAATACATCCATTCTTTGCTCAACTTCAATGCGCAAGGCCCAACATTCACGTTCATAGAGGAGGACTGACTGGCCGGATTTCCGGCCCACACGGATCTTCGTGGGAATTAATGGGGGGATTGTCCAGTTTGGATTCTCATACACCGTATACCCCTTATCATTAGTCCACTGGGAAGGGATATTTACGAGCGTGTGGCCTTCGTGCAGATCATAGCCTCACAGCCGAGAATTGGATACTAAACTATGTTTTCTGCACAAGTGCACCCAATACGGACTGGCACCAGCGCCCGGAGTTAGGAGTCTCATTGGCGGCAACTAGGTCAGACGCGGTCATTCAGGTGCCCTTTGTTTACATCAACAACACCTCTAAACTTTCATTAGTTTCGTCGACTTGTCAGCCGTCAAAATCGCTGAGCGTTTGCTGTGTTGCAGCTGGCAAGAAACCCAATAGTTCCCCCTGACCTTTAAGATAAAAGGTATTTGTTTACGGCTTTGGCCTTCTTGGGACACTCTTTTTTCTTTATTGAACATATAACCAAGAGTAGTGCAGTTTGTGAAAGCCTCCGGAAAGCCTATTTGACCGATCTTAAGACCATGATCGCCACGCAAGTTCGTGTATACAAAGACGTAAATCTTGAGCGACGGATGCCGATTGCGGGTGGACGTGTGTCGGGCCAGTATCTTGAAAGGATTGTTCGGGTCGAAAATAGAAGTCACGTGTTGAAGGAGATGATTCATGTCTTTGATATTGAGTGGAAGAGTTTTCGGTATTCCACAGCACTGGCTCAGACATTTTGGGCACACCATGCGGCGACTACTGTCTGACGTTATTGTTGTACTTCTATTTCTTCAACACCATCTCAGACATCCATAGTTGTGGTAAGTTGCTGCCCTGCGGAATCTCGACAAAGACATAGTCGTTAATCCCCTAGTATGGAAAGCTGTGACTAGAAACCTCTAAACGGATTGGATGATTAGTATTATCAGCCATGGATTGACAGCGATTTGAAAACATTCGTTGATTAACGCTCCCCGATCGGTAACGGAACTTACTCCTCCCGTTCTGTTTTGGGGTTCACTCTCGAACCCCGCCAGCAGACAACGACCAAGACGATTCCGTGGCTCTATAGCTAGAGCTTCGGA